TGCATCAGGCTTCCCATGATGCACAGCTTACCAAATGCTGACTCATGCTGTTACTATTGCTCCAGTTCCTTTTCAGTGGCCACATCCATGTCATTTTCCAGACCAGGGTGCCACATGGTCTTGACAATTCATGCCAGTGAGGGAGCAAATGTACCTGCACACAGGCATGATGCTCCACCTCTCGCTCTCCAGAGGCTTCTTTAGATGTATGCTGGAAGCCTGATCCATAAGAACAAGAAGGGCATTAACTCTCTTGTCTGTCTTGTAGCTAGAAAGGATGGTAGAGGTTGTGCCCCCCTCCATCATAAAGAAACAAGTACTATATAGTGTGGAAGCCTACTAAACCAGGGGTAGGCAACCTTTCCCCTTTAAGGGCTGAGGGACTTCAGCTCCCAGAATCATAGAATCATGATTCTATGATCCAGTCCAACCCCCTGCCATGCAGGAACTCCCAATCAAAGCATCCCCGACAGATGGCCATCCAGCCTCTGCTTAAAGACCTCCAAGGAAGGAGACTCCACTACTCTCCGAGGGAGTGTGTTCCACTGTCGAACCGCTCCTGGGATTCTGGGAGCTGAAATCCTTCGGCCCTTAAAGGGGAAAGGTTGCCTACCCCTGTACTAAACCAACATTAAAAGGCTATTCTTCAGTTTAGTTAGAGATTAATATTAAGGATGTCCACTGTGGTGTCACTGCAAGTGAGAAGGAAGGGGACAAAACCAAAATTAATTGGTCCCATCTAGTCTTTACTTTGTGGAGACTCAGTGTGGTATAGTACTTTAAGTGTTAGAGTACAACTCTGGAGATCAGAGCCTACAAGCAGAGTTTGAATCCTGCTTCACCAGTGAAAAACACTGGGTGACCTTGGGCAAGTTACAGCCTTTCAGGAAGGCAAAGGCAAATCTCCTATGAACAAATCTTTCCAAGAAAGCTGTGATAGGTTTGCCTTAGGGCTGCCATAACACAACAACAACAACAACAACAACAACAACAACAACAACAGAACTTTAGTTGGGTTTTCATTCCATTACATACCTTTCTGTTTTAGTCCATGTGGGTTCCAATTGCCACTGGTGCCAGAGGAGTCTAGCATGAGGCCTTCCTTGCTAAATAATGTGGGCCTGAAAAGCCAATGTGTAGACCGCGGGTAGGCAACCTTTCCCCTTTAAGGGCCGAGGGACTTCAGCTCCCAGAATCCCAGGAGCTATTGGCCAACATGGGACTATTGGCCAACATGGCTGAGGCTTCTGGGAGCTGAAGTCCCTCGGCCCTTAAAGGGGAAAGGTTGCCTAGACCATGTAGCCTCCTGTGAGCCTGTCTGGACCTGGGATCCAGTGGCTATCTGTCCCACCACATTCACAGGTACAATTGATAGGTAGACAGGATCCTCTTGGTGGCTGTCCCTAGACTTTGGCACTCCCTCCCTTTAGAGACTAGAATGGCCTCCTCTCTGCAGTCCTTCCATCAGCTGACAAATATTTTTTTCCAGAGACACTTTTAGAATGGAAAGCTTTTAATGAAAGGACTGTAAGAGAGTGCTGTATTTTTTAAATTACATGTTTAAACAGTTGCTTTAAAAATTGTTTAAAAGTGTATGTTTTAAATTGTTTTGATATGATTAATAGTTTAATTGTATTTTTAATGTAGACTTTTTGTGTTTTTTAAATTATATTGTAACAGTTTTAATTTGTAAGGTGCCTTGAGTCCAAATTGTGGGGTAAAGGTGGTCTTTAAATAAAGATGATGATAATGAGAATGAGGATATTGAGAATGAGCATCATAATAATGTGTCAGCATCGCTGGAAACTACAGAAACATTGTGTGTGAGAGCCACCCATTTTTTTTAAAAAACATTTAGACATTATTTATGTGAATGGGAAGGTTGCACACATGCTTAAATCATGCTCCTACTAAATTACTGAAAACTGCTCTACTCTGGCTGGATTGTGGTGTGAATATATAAAAACAGAGCAGTGTTGATCAGTGAATAACTACAGGTAACTACTTTACTATGTTATCTATGGTAAAAATTTTCTTGAAAACAAAGAGATGAGTGAACCAACCAGAGTAACTGAACTCTTTGACAAGCACCGAATGTACTGGATGCAGGATTAGGAATTAATAGCAGCAGAAGAAATGTAGTGTTTTTC